GTTATATCACATACTGTGAATATGTGTGTCATAACGTCGAATCGAGTCCCCAATGAGTGTTCAATTTCATAACGCTAAACCATAGAATAATCTTTGTGTTCGTTTGAACAATGACACGACTGTCATCCTGTTAGTGACAATGTAATTGATACTAGTCATTCACAGTCATAATGAGGTCACGCTAACCTATTTGGCAAGATAATTCATCCCTAACCATGTTATACCATGACGTGTTATATCTAAATTGGGGACTATTTTCGTGACTGTCCCGAGGTTTTATTAGGTATGCATGGGCCTGAGCTTGTGTTAAAAATCTGCTATTTAAGTGTGGACATAGCGTTAAGCATGAAGACGCGTGCGGACCTGACACCATTCACCATTTATCTGTAATGTTTCTAAGCAGTAAACAAGAATAAAGTAAACAGTTCTTCTTATTATTATTTGTTATTTGTGACGGAGACATAATTAATCATAATCATAGACTCCACATTCCATGTATGTATGTACATGTATAACGTTTTTCGCTTTCCTCTCACAGACTGTTTTGTCTTCTCTGGTTTTGTATAATTATACATTTAATTCTTTTTATTATTTCACGTCCACAGCTTCAGCTGATTCCCCTTGATTGTGTCTTGATTCTTGGCGAGAAAACTAGCGTTATAATGGCTAAGCTAATTTATTCAACATTGCTGATTCCACTTATGTTTATTGAATATTTATATTGCTACGGTACGTATGTCGGTATAATACATACACTGATGTTAGTATACAAATAGGTACATTGACAACATGTCCTTTATCTCAATATATAACCATCAAAGCAGAGTGGGCGTGGTTCATTGTCGGTTGATAACAATACGCATCTAATATAATTAAATATACAGTAGTTTTCATCGTCAATGATGTTCTAAGTAGATAATACAAATTTTTTAAACAAGACAACAACGCCAACCGCCACATTTGTTTTTCCTGGAAACGTCAAAACTAGTAAAATCGTCATCGCAGTACAATGGCAGTCCACTCACACAACGTGTGGCAATGTATCATCGTGTTTCTCACTAGCACCGCTAGCCTCAAGAAAGCGTCTGAGCGTCTTCATCTATGCTGCAGCTCTTAAAATACCATTGGATTAGCACTTTTTCAAAGACTACCAGTCACTAGCCGTCGCGTAAAATTTAAAGTTTTGTTCTCAGGTTTTTTTTCTAAGCCTGGTTGTGACTGTATTCATGTCATGGTCTTTGTAAACATGTCCAGATCTCGGGATCCTTTAGGGATATATATGATTAGAATCACATCCGGGTCACGCATGTGTTTAGGTAGAAATAGATCGTTGATCAACATGGCGGTTTTCTATTCAGTAATCGCTTTCTAAACTGGCACAAAACAACTTTTGAGACAAAACGACACTGAACCATTCAACAAAGGCATTCTCTTCATCTTCATAAATATTCAAAGATTTCAATGGTAGTTTAATTAAACCAGTCAGAAAGAGCATAATTCGCAACGATGTCATTTGAAACGTTCCTATGTTATTTATTCGGTCATTAGAAACCTTTCGTTTTAATTTGAATTGTGAAATTCATAAATATCTATAAAGATAAAATAAATGCTATTGTTGCGCCGAGAATACACTCTATTCGCTTTGTAAGGCTTTCTGGTTTTGAAGGTTCTCGGTAAAATTATTTGTTGCAGGACTAATACACGTCTCTACAATTTAACACGCCGACAAATTGACAAATCAATGACATAGAAAGACCGCTATACGAATTTCAACTATTTTTTAGAATGTGGAACTCACATATATGATGATGGTGAAGATGGTATCATTCAATCACCTGGTTTTCCAGCGCCGTTTCCAGATGGACCATACAATTGTACTTACATCATCACCAACCCCTATGGTGGCGATGTTTTGCTGGAGTTTACTGATTTTGTGACTCACAGTGAACTGCACTACTCACATTGGTGTAGGGAAACACTTTTTGTAAGTATATTTTTCAAGATTACAGCGATATATTGAGCTCATAATTTTATATAGTTTGGGGTAGTTAGACACAGCGGTTTAAAGTGGGTGGTCGTGGCTTTTCGTTACCTATCTTGTCTATTTTCATCTCATTAATACGTGACTGGGTGGCTGCAATATATTAAATTATTTCATTATGTGATGCCATACATATCATCTTGTTTAGATTACATTTGTTAAACAAGATTCACCACATTACGATCCTGGCTATCCCATTTGCCACTATATGTCAGTATATCACACGTGGACAGGTAGTAATACTACACAGGTCACATTTCAAGTTCCAAGTTCCAATTTATTCAGACTTCCAGGATTCAGGGCGAAATATTCCATGGTTCCTTACAACTATTCATTGATGTTCCAGCATGGTGGTAAGTTTTTACTAGCACGTATGTACGGGTAACTCAAAGGCTTGGACCTGTGCCTGTTGATATGCGTGTACGAAGATGCGACATAATACAAGTTTGCGTGTACTACCGATTCTATTGTTTTAATACGATAAACAAAACCCATTAACCTACATGTATTAGTGAAACTGGTGTTTAGTTGGGAATATATGGAGATGTTGATAGAAAGAACTTAAGCAGGAAGCTCAGCCCAGGTTCAAATTTATCTGGGACCAATATTTAATCTTTCGTTTTTGTTTAATTCAGCATGGTATACCGACTATAATTTGAATGTCGAGATTGAACGTACATAATTTACTGTGACGCCGGCAGATAGGATGGGAAATTTGTTTCAGTTTGGCGGATTGATTTGCGTGGCATCTGTATGCCTTCGGAACGTAAACGCCCGTGCAACTCACCCTCAGTAACGCTTATGAAACACCCGTAAATAAAAAATAATGCAAATACTACAAGTGTGTGTGTGTTTTTCACTAATCCCCCAAATATCAATACTGACAATGAAACGCTAATATGACCAGTGACTATTTCTAACACTTATCCATTGCAGGTACCTTAAAAATGGAAACAGTACCATATGAGAAAGCAAATCACAAATATGACACTGTCCTGCCGCCATCAACGGAAAATTACACATCTACCGTTATCAATATTGTTAAAGCATATCCCGGTTTCCAGGTGGCCTGGTCATTTTCAGGAATTGAACAATGGACCAGTCGTAAGTTCATTATATGTATTCAATTACTTTCATGATTTTTAATCAAGTCAGTTTGAGAAATTAATTTTCACTGAAATTACATCATTACATTACCTTGAAACAAAATATGTGTTCCTTATAGTGTAGTTAGAGTACTGTAGGACGCAGTCTAAAAATAGGGGACTTATCCGTGCAAATTCAACTCGGTGCAGTGCGTCCACACCTGTCCAATACCCCTGTCAAACCGTCTTCATACTTACCGAGCCTGTCGTGGATCATAAAGTCATAATCAGATTTGATTTATAACATGGAATATCGAACAGCAGTTTTAAAAAAACACATGCTTTGCTCAGATTGAATACAAAGTATTCGAGAGCCATATCTCCGCACGTAACATATATCGTGCATTTTAATAGTTGTCTTGTTAACGTGTTATTAAAACTAAGTATATGTTTCAAAAGAAATAAAAAAAAAAAAAACACTGTATAAAATCATCAGAAGTCGGAAACTATCATACTGTCTCAATCTGTATTTATTAAAATATTCCACCTTTGGTGCGACCAATACCCCGGGGACCAACACTATATTTTGTTGCAAAAATCGCAATAATTTGATACTTTGATACGGCACATCAACATTGAAGGTCAACTCAAAATTACCAATAAAGAAATTTGGTGTAATTTTACTCAGTTTCCTAACATTGAAATATATACTAGAAGGAAATCACACGAAAATCAATCGACAGTTGAGATACTGGGGCCGGTGACTTGACTAGATCCGCCGGGTTACATTTTCGGTGCTCACCGTTTTCATAACAAATTTCTTTTTCATATTATGTAAACTTTGACAACGTAAGATGGTGAAAACATAAATATTATTATAACTCATATAATTGTAAATCGCTTTGTTTTCTCTGACTTGATTATGTGTGGTTTATAACAGAAAATGGGAGTGAGTTTATACTGGAAATTCGTGATGGTCCCACATCGATGTCACCATTAATCGCTGAATGGACGAATTTATCACAAGTTCATAATGTATACTCGGAGAGTGGATATATGTACATTAGGTATACAAAGAATTATATATCGTATTTTATTCCTGGTTCACACATCTTCTTCAAAAAAACTTGTAAGTACAAATTTCAATCTTTTGTAATGCTTCACAAAATCGTTTCTCAATGCTAGAGATATTGTACTGATTAGTGTAACTTTGTAATGTTTATATTTCTATGACATTGCTAATAGTTAATAAGTTAACAGTTATCTATTAATCAACCAGCGCCTACTTTCTGGGTGTTATATATCTTATATATGATATACATTATATTCAGACCCGTGTCCAGTTGGATTTTTCCAGTGTGTTCAAAGTGGATACTGTATTGGTACATCTGCTGTGTGCGACGGTACTGACCATTGTGGAGATAACTCAGATGAAACAGCGCCGTACTGTGGCAATGATTTAATAGGTATGAATGTATATCATGATAACACATCATTATCGATATTTGGGGCAACGCGTGATGTCATCATATTGTGCCCCTAACATGAATAATTTTCTGATCAACTTTGTGTATGGATTATAAATCAAATATAAAAGCATGCTATTACTGAACTACACACTTTGTGTTTGTACATAAAGATACCTGTTACGGCGATCTCCCTTGTGTTGAAGATCAATCTCATTATGAATGCGAGTATTCGTATTGTTATTGCCAAACAGGGTATGATGGCGACAAGTGTGAATATGGTAATTTTGGTAAGCCAATTTCCTAAAAGAAATCTCAGTTATTGAATTTTCGTGGGCGATAAGATTGTGATCGTCACTTTTTTCATCATTACAAATTATTATGGTTGTTGTCATAATTCCATGTCTATGTTATACGTTACTGAAGTTTATGTTGAAAAGATACTGTGTTCTCCACTACAGAGTGCCCGTTCACATGTCAAAACGGTGGTAATTGTTCTGACTATAGATGTAGATGTGCTATAGGATTCCAAGGTGACAAATGTGAAATCGAAAACGGTAGTTATATTTCTATGTCTTATCTATCGTGTAAACGTGAATTTCCTGTAAGGTAGTGAAAGCTACAGGCAAAAAAACATTGAATTACTAATAAAACTAGAGTCGTATATTTCTTGTTTGTCTATATTAACTATATCATCACTAACGTTTCTCTCACAGTATGTGAAACACCCTGTCAGAATGGTGGTACTTGTAGTGACTGGGGTTCATGCTATTGCCCTTCGGATTACTATGGAAATGCATGTGAAAATAAAATTTATTATCATGGTAAGGTCCTTTCTTTGTACATTCTGAATTTCATTAAACTATCTATTGATAATCATAATGAAAATAATGAAGTCGACTGGGATGATGCGTGCGGCATCACAATTATTAATTAATCATAAACCAATGTCAACAACGCGTAAACACGTAATGTGACTATTTTTTTTTTATCGAGCATCGTGAATTGTACTTTAACACAATTTATGTTTCGCAATTTTGACGATTCAGTGTTAAATTATGCTCTTTATCTACTTTTCGCAATGTAGATTTTAACAACAAATTAATAATTCATTTTAATAATTTAACAACATAATTGATTGATTGAAATATATTGTTCATATTCTAACCACCCATGGGATACAGAAAGCTTATATATTGACCACGGAATAAATATCATTATTTAACGCACTCAACGGCACCATGACATAAATCATGACATTTGATGGGTTATTGAGAATTAAGTTAATTATATTATACTCAGTTATGCACGTGTGCTAAAGTGAATAATTATGTTGTGTGAGTTAGGAGGGAACATTCACCAGTCCTACGATATTCCATGTAGCATTACAGCTAGAGCGAAACACAGACGAAGTTGATTTCTTAAGTATGACACTTTGAGGTACAAGTATTTTCTCTTTAATAGTTTCCCTCACTAGATACACGTATAAGAATGCCCAGATTTCAATGAGATCATCTATTGTTATTTCTGACTCATCAAAGTTACGAGTTACGGACCTGCAGTCACTGTTCACAGAGCATTAATTTCATTTAATTCAATTAAATTCATTCTGTCGTTTATTGTTCCACTTCAACGTCAACGCTAAGCACGGACATTTCGGAGCTGCACATGAAAACGTGAAATATCGAATCTTTTCGGCACTGTAAAAGAAATATATTACTTGCCAGTGGTACACCATATATTGCACAACTTACACCTTTCGTATTTGATTTAATCATAATCGGCGATGGCAGATAAGCGTTCCCGGTTTAAATGCATAAAAACTCCACATTAAGCTCCAACACGTCTGTGATTGAAATTCGTAATGTATCTGTTTTCATAATTCTATTTCAAATTGCCATAATTTAGTTAATGCTAATTAATAACCCAACATTTTATGGATTTATTCTCATGAAATCAATCAATTAGATTTCAGTACACATTTAGATATAGTTGCCTTGGTAACGACGTTTAAAATATATATATATAACCAAAGAAATTGTCGATTAGATTTTGATACAGATCTTGTTGCAAGAAACATAATAAATTGTTGCATTTTTTTTTTCATTTATAACTCGATCACATACAAGGGATAGGTTTTGATATAGACTAATTGAACAGATATGGGTGACAAATTAGGTATGATTGACATGAAAACAACAATATCAAGGAATTCAATGCAGATAAAATTAAAGTAGGGGCATTAATTTTAGATGTAAGTCACTATGGAGGAAATGAGCTGCTTGGCAGGGGTCTGCACTCTCAATGCTTTCATCATTTTGTTGTTTTTCAGAGAACAACATTAACGATTCTGGTTCTTCTGCTACTGGTATCTCACTTGCTGTAATGCTTCCGCTTATTCTCGTCATTGTATGCAGTGTCGCGTGTTGTGTCGCCCTTTACAGAAAGGCGATTCGACGATTGCCGCAAAATTCTACTGTTTTTTCGTCTGCAACATTCACTGCCAATCAAACAACAGTGTATGTTGACAATCCCCCAATGTACCAAGATATTGTTACACCAACTGCTGGTACCAATGGTATCGCTAGTGATGAGCCGGATGGATACATTGAAGAAGAACCGGCCACGCCTCCACCGACTTACGAATCGGCAACAATGACCATTGAAACGACACCGTCCACGATGTCAGAAAACGTGGAAGCTGTCGCAGTTCCTTCAAATGCTACGGGACACACAAATAGCGACGCACAGACTGGTAATTCCGTATCGCCCGGAGGAAATGTTGAAGAAAATTAGAAGTAATTTTTCATAGTGATCATATAACGTGGTGTTGTATTTAATTCAATTCAATATACCCAATTTGTGTTTTAAGTACGATTCAACTGTTGGTTTTTAGTATCAACAAGGTTCTTGAAGAGAGAAGGTTTTTAGAGATAAATTTAAGAAATTTGCATTTCAATAATTAAATTAAGGTGATAATATTTTCTGTAACACACTTTTAAATCGATACATGAATTTTTCTTTTAAATTATATACATATTTTACTATTTAAAATCACTCGATTCAGTCTGTTTTATAGTAGTACATAACACTGGTAGGAAACAATTTAACGACAGATTTCCCCTAAACATACTTAGACATACTTGGCATTGTATATATGTTTTAGCTATAATTGGCGAATGTGTTCACCTATTGCGTAGTTTATAATGGGCATTGTGATTGGCTAATGTGTTCACCTATTGCCTAGTTTATAATGAGGTTGTACCTACTGTGTAGTTTGTATTGGTCAGTGTGGTTAGGTGATTACACCTACTGTGTAATTTGTATTGGTCAGTGTAGTTGGGTGAGTGTACCTGCTGTGTACTTTATATTGGTCAGTGTGGTTAGGTGATTATACCTACTGTGTAGTTTGTATTGGTCAGTGTGGTTAAGTGATTATACCTGCTGTGTAGTTTGTATTGGTCACTGTGGTTAGGTGATTATACCTGTTGTGTAGTTTGTATTAATCAGTGTGATTGTACCTACTGTGTAGTTTGTATTGGTCAGTGTAGTTAGGTGATTATACCTGCTGTGTAGTTTGTATTGGTCAGTGTAGTTAAGTGATTATACCTGCTGTGTAGTTTGTATTGGCCAGTGTAGTTAGGTGATTACACCTGCTGTGTAGTTTGTATTGGCCAGTGTGGTTAGGTTATTGTACCTGCTGTGTAGTTTGTATTGGTCAGTGCG